TTTTTCCCTCTGGATGGCCTGTTTCTGCTTATGCCAGGCAGAGATGAACTGCTGCCACCTAGTGACCAGAAGTTGCAGGGACCCTTACAGAAGGTGGGCTATAGACCTCACTGCAGTGTTAAGGCACTTGACATCCCCCCCAATTCTTTCTCTCAACCTTTCCTTCAACCCCCAGGTTCTTCAGTCTGCCAAGGAACAAATTAAATGGTCGTTACTGAAATGAAGGCTGTGTATTCGAGGCTTCCTCTCCCCAGATCATTTCCCCAATCCCAGAACCAACTCCTGAGGTCTCTGGCCAGGGACTCAGACGCAAAGGTTAGGCTTCAGCATTGAGTCACCCCTTCTCACTGCCTTGGCCACCTCCTGGGCTGTGAGAACCAGCTGAGCTGCCTTAATTCAGACCTTAGGCATCCCTAGCCCCAGAGTCCTAATAAACTTGCTTTTGTCTACTACCAATGGTCTCCTCTCTTGGCCTGGAAAATGTGTGTTCTGTTGAGGGCTCCTGCACTTTCTGTGGCTTGCCTTCAAGATGCCCATTATCAGGGCTTATTCCAGTTGTTGTGTGATTGGGGAGGGATGAATCAAGAGAAAGGGGACGATTTAACATAGGGGGTGCGACAGGGATATCACATAGCCCCATATGTGGTGGGGAGGACTTGGTATTAAATACCAATTGTGTAATAACGGAAGAGTAATAGGAATGGTGTATACTCCGGAAAAGGAGGCAAAATATTGTACTCACATGGTGGCTCCGCTGGGGATTCTTTGAGTCACTTTTCTATTCCTAGCTTCCAGAAGGGAAGGGCATAAGGCTTCCTTTGGACAAACTGAGGAACAGCATGTCTGTTTTTCTTGGCATGCTCGGGACTGCGGAATTCCTATACTGGCATATACTCTGGGCACTAGGGCCCTGCAAGCTTGCCATGGCGGGACCCGGATCCTGGGGGTGAGGAAGTATCAGCCAGTCCCCACCGTGCCTATGTGTCCAGAGCACCCAGTGTGCTTCAAAGGCTGTGAAGAATTGCAGGTCCAGAGGCAGAGAAGAGCGGAGAGGGTCCCCAAAGGCAAATGGGAAGGATGGAGCAAGTCTGGGCCATGAGACTCCTCTTCCGTCTCCCTGTCTCAGAACCTCCCGCTTCTCTTTTTTTCTCTGACGCGTACACTTTCTGAGTCCACGCACATATCCCTTCAAAGAGTGCCTAAAGTTCGGGGCCGGGAGAACTCGTTTCCCTTGATCCCTTGCTACCCTTAGCAGCGGGTCCACGCCCTGCCCCAGCCCCGCCCGGGCCCCGCAGACCCGCTTCAGGAGCGCATCTGCGATCCTATAGCGCCACCTGGAGGGAAAGACGGGAAATGCGCACCCTCTGGGTCCCACTTCCCGGACTAACTCCGCCCCCAGGGCGGGACGACCTTTACTTCGGCGACTTCAGACTGGGGCTCTAAAGCCGGCGACAAGGCGTTGCCCTGGCAACCAGCACGCTTGACCCGCCCTGCGAGTTCCGCACCAGCGTGGGCACAGGAATTTCCGCCAGCCGCTAACTAAGAAAGCGGCGAGCCCTGGGTGTTAATTGAGGCTGTTCTTGTGGGTTTCGCGTCCTCCATTATAAAACTCTCGAAGATTGGATATTTATCATGGGAATGACTACTTCTGTAGAGAAAACGATCTAGTTATGTAAACTAATACATTGTATACACTGTACATAATCCATTTTAGTAAATAATGCAAAAAGACAACTCTAATAGGGAAAAAAAGTATGCAATTAAATGCTGTAGAGTTCAGGGGCCAGTGTGGCTTGACGGGAAATGAGAAAGTCTCCAGAAATACTTTAGCAAATATGCGGCCTCATCCGGTGCCCGGCTCCAACAACCGCCTCAAAATGACCGCAAGGACAGGAGGGGCAAATTCGCTTCCTAGCAACCCGGTCGCGCCTGCCTGGCCCCTGCGATTCCACTTGTGCATAACTGGAATGGGAAGGCTCGGCGCTTCCACATACCGGCTTATGGAATCCTGTGGACTGAGACTGTCCCCGTTTCGCGGAGGGGCACGCCGAGGCTCTGAAAGGTTACACTGCCGCAGAGCCGGGCTCGGGTGGGGAACTGCTGGAGAAAAGAGAGTAGGTGGCTTTCCCGCACCCCCTGCGCTAAGCCGTCTTCAACCCTCGCCCACACAGGCACTGGACTGGGTTCAGAGGAATTAGACGAGGGGCCATGGCGATCCAGAGAGGCGACCAGAAAGGTGTCCTCGCCCGCTGTGGCTAAAGGACTATTGGGAGGGGGTTGCAGCAAAACAGCCGCTCACTCCCGCGGCGGGGAGAGGGCTGCGCAGAGTCGCGGGAAGCCCTGGGTAGACCTGGAAGGGAGGGGCCACTGCTCCTTTCCCGGGATCCCAAGTTTGCAGGTAGGGCCCTCTGGGGACAGAGGAGTAAACCCCGTTGCGTCCCCAACCCCTTCTCAGCCCCCACAGCCACGCGGAGCCACTAGGACCGCGGTACTGGCCGTCTGCCTAGAATTCTCTCTGCCCTCTGGCACTGGCTCTCCCCAGACCGCCTCATTAGCGCTGCCCCAGGGGCGAGCCCGCGGGCGCGGAGGGGAGCTGTCTGCCTCGGACCGGGTTTCGGGAAGGGCAGCCGGCGTTTCCGGGCGGGAGCGGCCGCCTGGGCCTGCCTTCCCAGCTGCTCTCACCCCCTGTGGCCCCTCCGCGTCTTTCTGCACCCTCCTCCCCTTTGCCCTCGTGGGCGACCCAGAGGGTCTCGGGTGCACGTGGGAAAGGGAACTTCAGGACTCCGCCTTTTCCTCCTGCTGATCTGGCACCAGAGCACGTCAAAAATAGAGACCCCAGGGGCCTGGGTCTAGCCCGAGGGTGCACACAGAAGCCCTGGCCCCGGGGCTCTGGTACAGAGGGACGCTAGCCACGCCTACACTTGGCTAGGGACACAAGTAGTACTTCCAGGCCCTCGGGTCCCATTTATATCACCCCGGACCGGTGCCCCCTCTCCCTGTCGCGGGCTCCGTGCGCCTCCTGCTTTCCCGTTATTGGCTGGCAGGAAGGCAGAGCTGGTGGGATTGGCTTGGATCCAGACACTGATGGATGGCCCGTCGCTGACTGGACCTGGGCGGGTAGTGTGTCTTTTTCTCGGCGGCAGTTTGGCAAAGGCAGAACCAGGCAAGCCTGGGGGTGAGGTGGGAGGTGAGCTGGAGACTCACCTAAGGCTCAAACTTCCTGCGCCCTAAATTTCCTTTTGAAAGTCTAGAGACAAAAATCTTACCTCTGAATTCCCATTAAATATCCTGTAACTCTGGAACCTAATGTTGAATAATTTACCCAAAGTAGTTTGGGAGCAACTCTACAGATCTCTTTCCTTCCAAACTGGGTCTCATTCATTTAACAGTATTTGTGCATTCTGTTTATTTGTTCATTCTATATTCATTCATTCAATCATTCATTCATTCAAATATTTGAGTATATGTCATGCGCCAGATTTTGAAAGGGAGAGAGACTGATTAGCAAGTAATTGGGCCCAGCCATGGCAGTGGGGTAGGAGTGGAGGGTTGGAAAGAAAGAAGGGATTTGAGAGATACTTCAAGGTAGAAATACCTTTAACATCAAATCGTGTTCTCTATCTTGATCTGAGTGATGGTAAAAATTCACAGAGCTTACACCTAAGATATGTGTTCTTTCTTGTAGGTAAGTCATATTCCATTTAAAAAGAAAAAATTATCAAATGGCTGCAAATTTTTCCTATCGTCAACATTTGCATGGTCCTCACCTGATTCCTAATCTCTTTCTCATCCCTACCAACTAAAACTGGAAAATACCTTAGATGAGGATCCAAAGAAATGAGAGTGATTATGAAACACATGCAGACTTTACAGTGAACATGTAGACAAGTGCCATCCCTCAAAGTGAACTCTCTGGTAAGAAAATCAGTATCGATAAAATAATAGTACTAGTAGTAAAATAAAGTTTCTTTTGGAATGAATTTTTTAAATAGATATTTACTAACTGGCTGTTCTGAGCCAGGTTTGGTGGGAGCTTCTAAAATGGATTGAAAGACAGTTCTTGACCCAAGAAGATTAAACTTGACTGGGAAAAAGTCCTGTATGCAGGTATTATAAACATTATCTGAAGAGACAGTGTATTATTACACAGCCTTTGACAGAGAGAAGTTGGGGAAAGAGACTGCAAAGGGAGCAATAGTATAAGCAAAGCAGAGAGGCAGAGACTCTCTAAGGAATTGCAGGTAGATCTATGCAGCCGGAAGGAGGATGTGTGTCTCTGTGGGGTAGCTGGGGTGTGTTGAGACATGAGGCTTCTCTGTAGATAGATTGCAACTGGATCGAGGCGAGCATTGAATGCCATGCTGAAGAATAACTGCATCACTGAATTTACTACTCTGTACACTTTAGAAATTCTATTATCCTCAAAACAACCAAAGTAGATGCTGTTAGCCCTATTTTTACAAAGGGCTAATTGAGGGTGAGAGAATTTGGATAACATGCCTCAGGGCACAGTGGTGAGATCTGGGTTTCACTCTACTGCCCATAGCTCTCTGCCCCAAGCGCAGAGCTAAGGCTTGTATTCTAAAGGTAATAGGGAGCCATTGAAGATTTTCAAGCAGTTAAGTGATATCAGTTCTGTATTTTGAGTGAGGAATTCTGCCAGCAATGTGGAAGGTGGATCGAAGGGGGGGAAAGAAGAATTTAGAGTCAGTGTATGACCCACGGAAGGCAATTGTTTTCATTACAGTCACTTCTCAGTCTTTATATAAAACAGTGCCATCCAGCTTTATTGCCGATACTGTCACCAAATCGCTTGCAAAAATCAAGTCCACCTAGAGTTTGAATTAATTTAGATAATTGTAGGCAATCGTTCCAAAAGAGGACCACTTTGTTAGGGACAATGATTTAGACAGGTTCTGAAAAGTACGTTAAAAAGTAATAAATCCACTTTAAAGGTTATATATTTGATGCACTCTTATCACCCTCACCTACCCACCCTCATTCTGGAAGTAGACACACATAGAGGAGCCAAACGAAAGAAAACAAAGTAGCAAGAGAGATCTGATTCCATTTGACCAGGCGCATATTTTCCCTTTACCCAGACATCTGATTTTTAATGCATTGAACGTATGTATCTTATTCTTATGGCTGCCAGTGAGTCTTCATCCAGGAAAACTTGAGGACAGAAGAAAACTCTGAAAATCCTAGAGGCTATGCCCCTGCCTTGAGGCAACAGCTTCTTGGTGACTGACTGGAATTCCTGAGGTGGGTATGTAGGAACGTACGGGATAGATATGTGGAGACAGGGATTCACTGATGGAATGATTGGAATAGACTGGCTTCAGCTGCTTCCAGATTTCAGTGGGTTTATGGGGCCAGCCCGACCACTCCAGAGGGTTTATTAGCCCTGTGCTTAGAAAGCTGGAGAGCTCCTGGACCATTCTCTCCTAAG